CTCTCTCTCTCTCTCTCTGCGCTTCGAATGCAGTCGTCGCCTGCACAAATGGCCACACACCAAAAACAGAGCGTCCCATGAACATATATATATATATATATATATATATATATAAACTTCGATATATATTGACATATATATATATATATATCAATGCGAGGACGGGTTTGCATCCCCCCCCCCGTCACCACCGTAGCTCCCCCCCCTTCCCCGTCTTGCGAGAACCTCGACAAGCATCTCAAGTACAATGTTCCCCCTCCTCACGGCATCTGCGACGTCACCTATTTTTGCCGTGATCGTTGTGCTGGCTTCCGATGCCGCCTTCGCCAAAGTGGAGGCGGCCTTGTCAAGACTGTCGCAATACGCCCTCGTCGAATCCTCCATCACCCTCCCCAACGACCACCCCTGCAACTCATGTCCTCCACTCTTGCCTTGCCGCTGTTCATTCTCCGTCTCTTCAATGCCCCCTCGGAATTGTTCGTCGTTCTACCGTACGAACCGCTTCTCCCAGAACCATGATTCCCAGGACCGTCATTTTGAGTTGTCTCCCCACCTCCACCAATCAGATCCTCGGACGCCAATGTCTTGTCACAGGTCATGGAAGGTCTATTCAACTTCCAACTGCATCGCCTCCCAAAGCGGTTTCTCACAGGTGAGAGGCACCTCCAACTCCTTCCGCTTCTCCACCGGCAAGTCGAAGTACGAAGGCATGCCAGACGCATTCTCGCACCTGACGAGGATCAACTTCGCCTTGCGCAATATGTTCGTTCATTTCTTTCGGCAATCCTCCGTTGTCCTGTGCTGGAATCCGTTGTCTTTCATCCGGTCGTGCACCCAGGAGTAACGCTCCTTCATCTTCATGAACTGATGTCGACCCTCCGCGTCAGCCATGAGGGTGTCGTCCTCCCCCATTAACTTCGCCAGGGCGATCCTCTCCTCCAACCTACAAGGAACGTTTTGTTTTTTGTTTTTCACAACATTGTCTGTACCCTTGCGGTTGTCACGACAACAACCACCCTCCCGTTTGTCCAAGGTCTGGCCTTGGTTGGACTGTTGTGCACAGTCTCCGTCGACGTGCCCATTGCCTAAAGTGTGCGGAGCAATGTTGTTGCCATCTCCGTCATCGTCACCGTCGTCCTCATCTTCGCACGCTTCACCTTTATCTGCATCGTTGTCAAAATTTGTTGGTCCCGAAAAACGGTTTCCTGCAGGCCATCCTGGTTGGTCTCATGGCCATGTGGATCACCCATCTGTGAATCCCTCGCGGCCGCGGTCGCCGCGGGCACGACCGCGGTCTGCCGCGGCCCACAGCGGCCGAGGGGAGAGGGGGTTGGGGGTTGGGGGTCGGGGTTACAGATTGGGGTTTCGGAACCCTGACCCTACCCCCTTGAAAAAAAAAAGTAAAACAAAATCATTTTCGGGTGGGTCGTTTTTGCTGTGTGGAATTTGTTTTTGAAAAAAATAGAAAAATAATATAAAGATTGATTGATTGATTGATTGATTGATTGGTGGGGGAGGTCCTCCCAACCCTCCCCCCCGCACACACACACACACACACACACACACACACACACACACACACACACACACACACACACACACACACACACACACACACACACACA